ATATCCTTATTTGTAACCAGCTGCACGAACTTATTTGCAGAAATGAAATGTTTCACAATGCAAATCTATCATAATCACTCATGTATTTTTATAATATAGATTAATATTCCAAATGTATTCATATTAATTGACAGTGTTATGTAAATTGAATGAAAAATGACTTTTTAAGAAAATTTAGAACAATGGTTTGCTAGTATGGGTAAATTTAGATTTGATTTTAATTTATCAAGTATCTATTCAAATTTGTTGTTAATTTTATTGTGCTGAAGTAATAGTCAATATATTTATTTAATTTGGGATGGGGTATTTTCTTTTCTTTTCTTTTCTTTTTTTTTGGAGAGGTTTTTTCGCAGTAGGGCGCATGTGCTCGCCAGACAGACAGAGAGAGACATAGAGACAGAAAGCGAGAAATCACCCCCTCCAGGGGGGATGGTGACACCTCAATCCTTTCTCCTTCATTCTCCTCTCAGGATCTTGGGCACGCACGCACACGTGCCCAGCGTGAGTTTTAAGCCACCGGGTCCGGGACGCGAACTGCGGTCGACTACGTGGGAGTCCAGCAACATAGCCATTACGCTAACTGCTGGTTCCCGGGATGGGGTATTTTTTAAACTGATATGATTTTGGTTTAAAAGTTAAACCTGTTTTATTTAAAAAGATGAACCTGAATCAGCAAGTGGCATGTTGGTTAAGGTGGCTGGAACCCAGATGGCCTATCATGAAGTTTGAGTCCCAGATGTCCCAGATGTGGAGGCTTGAAGAACATACCAGGCCTGTGTTAAGTACATGTCCAAAATCTTGTAAAGAACATTACCCAAGAGGTTTTATTTTATTTTTTTTTTTTCAATTTCCTTCTCTCTGTCTCTCTGTTTCCTATTTCAGTGAGCAAACATGCTTTCTGGCAAAACTGAAAAAAGGAAGTAAAAAGATGAACTGAGGATGCTGGATGGTGGTGTGGTAGCAAGCCAAAGCTCTGTTAAGACTGACCCACATGGGAAGTTTCTGGATTTTTATCCCATGATCTCCCCGCACATGCCAAGTCCTGGTGTCCATGATTCAGGCAGATGAAGACTGGGGGTGGCAGATGGATTGCAGGTGTCAGGACCTTGTGGGGGTGTTGCCTCGCTGTCTTTCTATATTTTTCTCTATCTCTGTCATTTATGGAAAAAATACAAATGAACTTTGAAGAGAAGTCACTTTTCAAAGACATTATTTTACAAAGCATCTGATGTAAAACTTCCTGAGACAAATATATTAAGGCACTGTACTACATTCAACACAGAATATTAAAGTGATTTTTTAAGTTACATATTTGGCTCGGATTTTACTTCTATAGAATATAATTAGAAGTGTGAGGTCAAATGCCTAGCAGAATTTTTTCAATGATATTTATAGACTTTTGAACTGGAGGTGATTCCCAGGATATCAGAAATCCAGAAATATGCTGTTACACAGATTTTGTTTTTATTTATAATTGCTTGGCACTATGATTATATTTGTTTTTAGACTAAAATATGTGAGAGTTATATTGAAATTAAATAACTTTAAGAAAAAAATCTATACGACTATAAATGATAAAACTGTTTACTTGATTGAAGAGAAAAGCAAATGAGTAATATATGATTCCTTATTTTTCTCACTATTGGATTATAACAAAGAGAGTTGTTTTTTTTATAGTGACCATAATCATGTTATTTATCCATGAGTTGAAAAAAAGTAGTATTTTCTACAGTCACATTCATCTTTTTTTTTTTTTCTTTTTGAAGAGCATACTAATGTTCATAGACAGTATAGCCTTCACACTAAAAAGCAGTTCTTGGTAACTTTCAGTTATGATTCTTTCAAGTAGTAAATACATGAAGTTATTCTTCCTTTCTGTTTTCTGTTGGAAATTATCATTTAAAGGATAGTTTCATTGTTTTTTTAAATGTTATATTATTTTCTAAATAATTCTTTTCATGAAAATGTGTTTAAAGTTTGTTCTTTTATTTTTCATGATGTTTAGTCTTTGCAAAAAAAAAAAAAAAAAAAAAAAAAACTCGTATAGATTACTACCACATGAGACAAAAATTAGGGAATGAATACAGGGAAAAGTGAAATACGCTTTCACCCACATAAGAGTTGTAAATCAGCTAGCTCACCTTTACACTATTTCTACAAGAAATCTTATTAGAAAATGACATTGCTTAGTTGAAATTTACAAGTACTTGATAGGATTATTCATTTCTAACTTTTAGTATTCCCGGGAGTCACAATAATCCTATAATCACTACGATGGTCAGCATAACGTAGAAATTCCTTATAGCAGGTCCTATTGGGACTGGACTAGTGGGCTAGTCCTGCTCCCCCAATTTCACCCTCAAGCTGCATGGGCTGGGTGATGGCAAGTGAGTAAGGCTGCACCTGTGCTCATAGCTGCTCCCCATGGCTCGTGTTGCCACCTGGGCTCAGCCTCCTATCAGCTCAGCTCAGCATTGGATTCTCATGGGAGCATGAGCCCTATTGTGTGATTATTTCATTTTATATAACAATGTGAGAGTGGTGGGAATAGGCCACGTGGTGCATATGGTATGTTTGGGTCATCCTGGGTCCAATTTCCATCCCCTCATCCATGGACAGATCGTCCTTCACAAGGCCAGTCTATAGTTCCAAGAAGGTTGGGGACTGCTGCCTATGGAGCACATAGATTTTTACTAAAAACAGTTCAGATTTGTCTGTAAATTTGTCATCTATGCAGCATTATTTAAATTATATTTAAAATTAGTAAATGATTTTTAAAATTAGTAATACATGGAAACCAAGTTTTAGGACAAGAGTCATTTAATAGTGAAACAAAAATAATGATTAAACAAATAAAATTTAGAAACCTAAAACATATTGTCCTTGAATTATTTTTGTTTCTTAAAGTACAGACGATTAATATGAGAAAGAATCAACACTGAAATTGATAGACCCTGAGGCATTACTGAAAAAGGCTTCCAGATTTCAGCTAAGATTAATGTCTTCAAAGTGAGAATGTATTTAAGTTGTCTCACTTCTCTTATTAACATTTCAGTCAAAAGAAGAATATAAGAATATAACTTGTATTTATTTTCATCTATGGTGATATTTTTAAATGACTGAAAAGGAATATTTTGACTTCTAAAGCCCTATCATTTCTTGGCAGCAGTATTGAATGTGAGCGGCTATTTCGAGGAATCTGAAAGAAATACAACATTGACAAATCTAAATTTGGGTATTTATTACAACTTTTGGTGGATAGGTTTGGTAATAATAATCTGGAGTTGAGTGATTGCTATGCTAGATAAAATTCATTGAAGTATTGTAATAATAATTTTATATTATTTTTTAATAGGAACAAAGAAGTTCATGAGCAGTTCTAGCTATACATTAATATCAATTTTCGTTTTACTTATTAACAAGAAATTTTGAAAGTAAATGTATTATTTGAAGTACAGGATAGATATGTGCTTGCCTCTTCAAGGCTGTGTGTGTGTGTGTGTGTGTGTGTGTGTGTGTGTATGAATGCTTGTGTATGTCCCTATATCACATGTATTATATGAAACTAGGAACATCATAATTTGGTAGATATAAGATCTCAGCAACACAGAACTGGGATTCCAAGGGACTTTGACATATATCAGGTTATTGGGAAAGTCGTGACACATTTTTGCATAGAAAACCAGAAAAATATGTCATGACTTTCTTGATGACCTAATAGATAAACCATGTAGTATACTAAAGTAAAAGCAGCAGTGAGGCCATGAAGTTGGATAAATAGTGTACAACACAGAGTGCTCCATTTTTAAATCTAAAAATTCTAAAATGTTGGACAAAAAAAGCAAATGCTTGTATAGACATTTGAAGTTTGAGAAGGATGAGAATACCAGGTGAGAAATCACAGGGGTTTTAGGAACATAGACTAATCATGAATATTGTATCAGTGAGAGAATAAAGGTCACACAAGCATCAAAAATAAAGATGAAGCAAATTGAATGTATGCAGGCATATATACCCAGATGCATACGTATACATATACCTACATGTAAACACGTCCATTTATATACACACATATATTACTACATTAAAAAGTACTGAGCTAATAAATAAATAAAAAATAGTGAAGTAACCAGCAGTCATAAAGTGGTACATAGTAGGTGCTCAATAAGTCTTTTCTTTATTTTAGAGGTTTTTGCTATAGGGCACATGTGTTCTCAGGAGAGAGAGAAAGAGACAGAGACAGTGAGAAGGAAAGTGAGAAATCTCTCCCCCCAGGGGGATGACCAGACCGAAATCCCTTCTCCTCCATTCTCCTCCTGGGATCTTGGGCATGCTCACACACACACACACACACACACACACACACACACACAGTCTAGTTTCAAACAACCGGTCTGGGACTTCACCATGATTAGCCATGTGGAGGTCCAGATATAGCCACTACGAAATCTGCTGGCCTTATTCAATAATCTTGATCCCTCAAATTTGCCACTCTATCCCCTTATAATATTTTGAAACTCTAATGTCCAATATTACTGGCTTTCTTTGTTAGGTAGAATAATGACCTGTCAAACATCCTGGTCCCCGGGACCTGTGAACAGGTTATTCTAAGCAAAGATGTGAAGTTACAGATGGAATCAAGAAACCCTGATTTATGGGATTATCTTTTATTATCTTGGTGAACCCAAATATAATTACAAGTGTCCTTAAAGTGGAAAAGTAAGGAAAAAAGAAAAAATCAGTGTCACATTGATATGATATGAAACTGTCTTCATTTCAAGCAGAACATTGCTGCCTTTGAGGATGCAAAAGATTTGCAATTCGAGGAATGTGAAGAGCCTCTGGAAGCTGAAAAGTTCAAGAAACATTCTACTCTTGAGTTCTAGGAGGAAATGTAACCAGGAGACACCTTGATTTCCGCCCAGAGAGATTCATTTAAAATCTATGGTCTCCGGAACTCTAAAAAGATACATCTTATTAGCCTGAAGAACAAATTTGTGGTGCTCTTGTTGACAGCACATATACTAAAATTAGAATGAAACAGAGATTACCATGCCCCTGAACAAGAATGGCATGCAAATATGTGAAGTGTTCTGTATTTTTAATGTATATAATAATGTTTGACTTGACTAATATTCACTATATTCATGTTGGGAAAAATCATGTTGTACACTGTAAAGATGTGGAGTGATTAAATGTAAACTTAAAAAGCAAATTTGTTATACCAGCAACACAAAATGAATGCAATAACCACACAGTCATTCCCATCTCACCTTTTTCAGAATGTAAAAATTAAAAAAATATATATTTGGTATTCCATGAACTCTTAGTGCTAACATAGAAGTATGTGATCCATTTCTAATGAATGAATCTTAATAAATTAAATTAGAATAACAAACCTTGGAAAAGATATATCTTTCTTAAGGTAAGAGATATATAAAAGAGAACCAATCATTTTAGTTGAATATGGTCCTGTGTACACGTAATATCTGGAACTATGAAAACTGAGGATACAGGAACAGCATTAAACATCTCTACTTATGGACTTCTTATTATAAGGGATAATTGTATTTTCTTTCCTCTTAGGTCATTATGGCTTGAATACAATGCTTCTGGACACTAAAATCAATCCAAGGGACAAATTACCAGATACTTTATTGGCAATCAGAATGTCTTGTGATTTCATTTACTCAGAAAACCTACCTTAAAATACTTCAAAAAATTAATAATGTTTGTCTGCCATTTTTTTTATCTCAATGAGTCTCTGCTGAACACAGATTTTCATGAGAGGTCACATTTTTATTATTTTGTCTTTAAACTTTGCAAAAGGGCTGTAAAATTCTTTGGATCATGGTTCATGATTTCAATATTTTTGAGGAATTAGAATATTTGCTAGTGTCCTATGTGAAGTTCTACACTCATGATTCTTCAAAGTTTTATGTCTTTAAATAGATAATTCATAAATTTATCTCCCACAATATTATTTGATGAGCCAAGGAATCTGAACTAAATTGGAGTCAATAACCACGTTGTTAAATATTTTTAACCATTAAGGGTTTCAAACAAGAAGTCGACAAGAATATATGATGAGAATTTTGATAAAAACCCATATTCAAATTTATGAGTGTTGTACGTTTTTCACTGGAGGATTTTATTTTAAGCATCATTTTCTGACAGGTTTAGCTGTTTTCTATGAGTTTAAGGAAGAAATTATCATCTTTGTAGAGAATTCCAGCTTACTTCCTTAGAGGAACTGACAGTGGAATTAATCAAAGTCTGTTGCAACAACAACAAAAAAATCCCAATTACACCATTCCAGATGAAATCAGAAATGATGCATACTAGAAACTGCCACTTTAAACGTGATTCTTTGTACTGCCAAGTTTATTCTTGGAATTACTGCAGCACGCAAGCCAAACTATCTTATTGTGAGATAATATAGGCATCAGTCTCCAAATCTAGTTACATTCCGCCGACAGGTAGTTATTTAGGGAGACCATCTACAGGGAGTGATTGGAGTCCCATCTGTTTAAGGACCTGCTGCCAGAGATGGCAAAAGATAGGGAAGATCCATCATTCTAAGTGGGGGATCAATGGCTGAGAGCATACTGTGAGAAAGTAAGTCAAGAGCATGTTATTGCTTATTGGTGAAAATCAGAATGACATTGACCCTCTCTAAATCATGTATTATTGGATTTAGGGACACTGTTTTAGCTGTGAGTGATCCATGAAACTTGTTAAAGTCATTCAAACAGCAGTTGGACAAGGTACTTCAAGTCAGTACCTATCATTAAAAAGAATCAAAGTATGTCCATTCAATCACTCTTCAGAGGAAAAGAAAAAATGTCAATGTTGTGTGACTCTCAGATCTCTCTTCTAGTATCTTTTAAGGTGAAACACACAAGTGAGCATTTGATACTCAAACACAATTTTCTCCCTTCAAGCAGATGGGTTGTCTACTTGCACAGGGTACATGTAGCTCAATCAGTCAGGCAATCAAGGACTATTAAGTCAGAAGGGGATCCAAGATATACTTAGTAAATTCTTTGCAAATTAATTGTGACCTAAAGCAGCTAAGTGACTATCTCCATGTCTAAACAATCACAACAACAACAAAAGACTGTTGGAGGACTGAGATATAAACCAGAACCAAATTTCCTTTACTATTTCATCATCTTTCTATAATATGATCTCAATTAGTCACTTCTCAACTGATTTATGTTTGAGGAGATATAATCATTATGTATCAGACAATAAAAGTAATACAACATAATTTACCTGTTATGACCTGATGGAAATGGTACCAGATAGTAATTCCTCATTCTTGCTATACTGCATAAGCCTGAAGAGTAAAAATTGAAGTTTTCAGAATCTAGCAATAATAATCTTTATGTTATTAAAGTTCAAACAACTAGATTAACTCATACATGTTTTGAAAGTTTATAGTATAGTCAATATTGCAATTTTTCAAGAATATCATAGAAACATTTGGTTTTTCTTTGGTCGCATTATGCACGTCCCTGGTTACTGAGATGCAGGCACCAATTCTGTGGATCTAATAAGTACAGGCGTAGTTTGAAGTTACTAGATGTGGAAATAACTTTTTCATGTCCAGGTTACAGCTAACGTATTCCTGTGATCAAGATGCAGTAGCTTCCTGTCTCCTCTTGATTATGGTATAGCTAGTCAATTCTCCAGGCTTCTGGTTTAATGGTCTTTTTCTATACAGCATTTCTGGGTGCTCAGTCAATGGAAAATATGTTCTTACCTTCTAGGAATTTATTGAGCACATATTTTTTTCCTTTATTAAATTCATTTATCTCTATTTGCAATAGTCAGTATATACCTGTTACCTGTAACTGAACCCTAATACAAAATTGTTTGGGATAGCATATATTGACTGAAATATTCAGATGGAAAAGATATGAATTAAGACTTGAATAGTATAAGATGACTTCAAAAGGAAATAGTTCTAAAGTTATATTTAATAACATCTAAGATTTGACCACCCAAAGGATGACAAAATGCCAATTCATATGTGAGAAGCAACTTCAATTTATAACAGCAACTTTTCATACACCTAATTTTCAACTCTGTTCCCAAAGCCCACCATACAGCCTGTATGTAAATGCAGTGGGTTTGAATCGCTGAAGAGAAAGGCTTGAATACAGCAGAAACTGGAAGAAATATTATACATATAGTTGAGTTAATGGGGAAATTAAATTGAGAAGGCCTCACAAAAATGGAAGCTATTGAAGGAAATTGTCTTTGAAGGGTTTTGAAAAGGGAGTGACATGATAAAAATGATGTTTGAAGCACAACATGGGCAGTAATATAAAAGGCAGTAGAGGAGCTGTGCTAGAGAAATATTAAGATTAATGATGCTGGAAAAGGAGGCATAAATACAAGAACAGGTCTTTTAGGGAGGAGTAGTTCTATAGCATCAGAATTTGTTTTAGTGAGCAGTTGGCTTTGGAAGATAAACATTAATATGGATTTTAATATAAGAGTATAATTGAGATGAGGCCATAGGTATAAGTAAAGATTTGTATAAGCTAGAAAGAGGGCACTTGTGTGCTGTATGATACAAGAGTTTTCAGGAAATGAGAGACATTATGTTCTGCAGCCTGTGGGCTGTAGTGTTGTAGAAAGCTTTAGTAATTAGAATCTGGTGAAATAGGATACTTGAAGAGTTATTTGGGAAGTTCACTAGGAAAATGACAAAGGTCATGGGCTAGAATAAAGCCTGGCATTATAAATATTATCCAGATCAATTCTATCCCTGGAATTTTGCAGCCCAGACGTGGTACTTGAGGAAATAAATTTGTATACTCTTTTACAAAATGTGTGTAAACATAGTAACCCTAGATAATCTGAAAAATAAATACATTTTAATAAATACTGATGGAAATATTTCTAAGTCAACTTCAGTTTTAATATGAATGGAAATCACTTGTAAGAATTCCATATAAATGATTTTTACTTATTTAAAAATTTATTAAAGTATATTTATTTCTTAAATTAGAAATAGAGAGAGAGAGATACAACACCCCTGAAGGGTCTAGATGCTATGCTTCAGCCAACACAGGTCACAGGTGCATATATGCCCAACAGTCAGATAATTCTCCTGGATATGAACTGGCAACCTTCCCATGTGGGTATACCTCACAGAAAATTGCATTTTACCACTGCATCGCCAACTGAGTTTTCAAGTTTCAAGATGCAATAAAATCTTCTGTAAGGAAGGAAAATTAGTATTCTGAAGAGCCATTTGCTCCATTATGAGAAGGGACAGAATACAGTATGAGAAGGGACAGAATACACCCTCTAATAGGAAGACTCATCTGCCCCAACCCCATCTAGTTAGCCTTGTATTTGAGACACATTTTGGGAACACACATTTCTTTCTCAGGCTAAGGAGTTATCTCACCCCAGCTAACCTCTGTTTACCTGAGGTGTGAAAACTCATGGGCCTAAAGAGTTCTGTGCTTGGTCATACAGGAGACTTTCCTTCTCAGTCCCTGCTGGAAATAATCCTATGGGAGAACTCTCTGTGCTAGTTCCTGCTGGTGCCCCATTGTCAACAGAGGGAGCTGCAATCTGTATTTGAGGAGTGAAAGGGAGCAGAGTTGAATCAAAAGGAAACACTAAGCAAAGGACTTTTGCAGGAGACAGTATCAGACTCACTCTGTGAGGACAGAGAATTATGCTATTCCTGGTCCTGTAGGTGATACAACTTTCCATCCGTATTTTAAACTACACTTCATTTGAAAGATAGAAACTACTCTGTCTTCTTCCTTCTCATCGATGTCCTCCAGTTTGGTAGTGACAAAGTCTTCCTGAAGCACAATTTTTATTCTTGCAGAAATATTTTCAGACAATTTAGAAGCTATCAAGAAGGTGGAAATCTATGCCAAAGAGATAGCAGCCTGGAAGGTGGCAGTCTGTCTTTGATAGATTTTAAGACAGTGACATGAGCTGAGCCTGAGAACCTTTGGTCAGAACTGCTGATTAACGCTGCATCAGGTTTCCATCTCTGCAGAAGAAAAGGATATATTTACCTCACTGTTAACTACTACCCTGTGGGCTATTCCTTGGATGAC